TTAAAGCTTAAGTGTTGATGACCGACAAAACATTCCAATTCTTTGAATAAATACATTCCTGGGATTATAAGTGCATAAAATTTTGATTTCCGAAAATTAGACAATCTTTCAAGTGTGCAACAAAACTATAAATTGGGGGGAGGAGAACTTTACAAGCATTGAAGAATGGGATAAAGGACAGAAGAGTTACTTTTTACACATCTCCCTCTTCCCACCTCATTCCCCTCTTTCTTCCTCCTCTTCCCCTTCCTTCCACCTCTTCCCTCTTTTTCCCTTTCTTCCTTCTCTTCCCCTTTCTTTCCATCTTCTCCCTCTTTCCTCTTTTCCTCCTCTTCCCTTTTCTTCCCCCTCTTCTCCCTCTTCCCCTTTCTTCCACCTCTTCCCCCTCTTTCCCTTTCTTCCACCTATTCCCCCTCTTTCCCTTTCTTCCTCCTCTTCCACTTTCTTTCCATCTTTTCCCTCTTCCCCTTTCTTCCACCTCTTCCCCCTCTTCCCCTTTCTTCCACCTATTCTCCCTCTTGCCCATTCTTCCTCCTCTTCCCCTTTCTTTCCATCTTTCGTCTTTTCCCATCTTTCCCTTTCTTCCCCTTTCTTCCCCTTTCTTCCCCTTTCTTCCCCTTTCTTCCCCTTTCTTCCCCCTGTTCCCCACTTCTCCTCCATGGTCCCTGAGATATCTACTATGCTGTTAACTGGCCATAACCCTTTCACAAGAGCATGAGTCTATCAAACTTGCACACTTTCATTAAAACATAATGCCTTGAGAGCATTGAAATCGAAAACGAATCTTAGATTTCAAGACAACCTAATGCCCTTTAACCATTACCAGCAATTTCTATTATAGGTATACCTTTAGATAATGTCCACAAAACTAAATGTGTATCGACTGTAAAGTGTGTTTTTCTTCAGTTATTTCTCTGGCTGTCTATAATATTGGGATGTCTGTCTGTGCAAGAGGCTAATGGGCACTTCCCATTAATGAATCACGTTATTGTTGTTTTTGTAATACAGTAAAATCCCGCGTTTAAGTTGGTTAAGAACACCCAGGCCTGATTTTAGGAAATAAAGTACCATTTATATAAGAACGCATTCAGCCTGAAAAATGAAAGTTGTTCTTATATGGAAAAATATCAAAGATCAACACTATTCATTGCACACATAATATAGTTCCATCCCAATTATATGTAACAAAATTTTAAACAAAATAAAATATGTACTGTTATATTGATTTCATCTATTGGTAGCCTAGTATGTTCCTTATTTTAAGAAACTTTATTTAAGAACACTTAAGAACACTTACAGGCTGATTTTGCAGATTATAACCCTTTATATAAGAACCAAATCAGCCAGAACCGCCAAAATAGGTGTTCTTATACGCGGGTTTTTACTGTATATAATTTGATTTGTTTAGGAATTGTATCAAACAAGGGATCACAAAGACTTATTGACAGATATTGCTGTGTCAACTCAACTCAGCAAAGCTGCATCTTGTGGTGACAACTGGTATGTGTATAGTACACATAGTCCAATTATTAGTTGTTGTAATTGTTTTATAATCATCAATACTTCCTTCTAATCATTTGTTACACAACGTCAAGTCATTAGATCTTGTTTTGATTTTCTGACTATGCATATACGATACCTAGTCCAGACAGGTTTTTTCCCAACCTGACATCCTCTTTGGACTACAGACTGGTATCCTACCAGTCAAAAGGGAGGTTGAATAAGGGCTGAGTCAGTGAATATTAGGACATTGGTTAATCCTTTCTCCCTTCATCTCTTTTCTAGTATCAAGATTCATGATCTGGTTGAGATGAAAGAGATTTATGCCATCATTACCCTGGACGACGTAGGAGGTTTGTGCTATAGAAAATGCAAGATACTTAAATTTGTCAATATTTTGCAGTAACTATGTAATGTTTACATGCGAGGTGTTGAAACATGACAGTAGAGTTGCTGAATTGTACTTTGTAGGTAATCCAGACAAGATTTCATGGACAGATGATGGTCAACTTCTTGCTGTTAGCACTCAAAAAGGTGAGTTGAATGCAATCAAAATTACTAGCTACTACTGTATATAATTAAGCATTCAAACATACTGACAAGAATTGCAAGAACTATTTATAGTACTGAACTAATAGTAATCCAATAATTTATTGTTTATAAAATAATGTTTTAAGGTGCTATTCATGTATATCTCACCAAGCTTCCTATTCTTGGAAACACATGTGGAACTAAGATGGCATACTTGACATCTCTTCGAGAGGTAATATGATTTTAACATTGATTGATTTGGTTAGCTGGTTGGTTCGTTGGTATGTGGATTGGATGGTAGGTGAGTTGGTTGCCTGTGGTTAGTTGGTAGGCAAAATTGATGCGTTGCTTGGTTGTTTGGTATGTAGGTGGGTTAGTTGGGGTTTGTTAGGTGAGTCGGTGGTAAGTGTTGGTTGAAACGTTGGTTGGTGGTTGTTTCGGTTAGTTGGTAGTAAGGGTTGGTGACTGGGCATGTTTATTGGTGGATGATCATGAGTTGGCGGTTGGTTGGTGGAAGGGTTGGTTGAAAGGTGGGTTGGTGGTTAGTTGGGTTAGTTGGTGGTAAGGTAGGCGGATGGGTTAGTTGATTGGTGGATATAAGTTGGTGGGTTGGTTAGTGATAGGGGTTGGTTGAAAAATGGATTGGGGGTAATCTTTAGATGGTTGGTTGGTGGTTATTTGATGGTTTTATTGGTTGGTGGGTTGGTAGGTGGGTTGGTTGGTTGGTTGCATTGGTTGATGTATCGGTGTGTTGGTTGGTATATGGTTTGGTTGGTTGGTTGGTGACTGGRTAGGGGTTGTGGTGGTTTCGTTGGTTGGTGAGTTGTTAGGTTGGTTGGTTGGAAGGTGGGTTGGCTGGTTGGTTAGTAGGTAGGTACATGAATGTTAGTTAATGTATGGATGGTTGGTGGTTGGGATGGGATGTTAGTAGGCAGGTTGGAGGGTTTTTATAGTTTGAGGGTATGTGGTTTGATTATGAGTGGGTAGGTTGGTTGATGATAAGGATTGGTTGGTAGTGTTAGTGGGTTGGTTGGTTGGTTGGTTGCATTAATGGGTTGGTTGTTTCATCTTTTGGTTGACTGGTTAGTAGATAAGTGGTGGATTGGGATGTTGGTATGTGTTTTGGTTGGTTGTTGTGTGAGTTGGTTGGTTGGTTGGTTGGTTGCAGTAATGGGTGGTGCAAGGGTTGGCTGGTACATGTAGGTTAGTTGGTTAATCTTTTGGTTGATTGGTTAGTAGATRAGTAGTGGGTTGGGATGTCAGTTGGTATGTGGTTTGGTTGGTTGTTGTGTGGGTGGGTCTGTTTTATTGGTTGATGGTGAGGTTGGGCTGGTTGGTTAGTGGGCAGGTGTTGGATGGGTGGGCTGTGAGGTTGGTTGGTTGGTTGGTTGGTTGGTTGGGTTGGTATGTGGTTTGATTGGTTGGTTGATGTATAGCTTTTATTGTTATTTCTATTGAAATATTATGATTTCTCAATTTTCAGGTCACTGTTGTTGACAGTGTTTCACAGGTACTGTATTTTTTGAAATTCATTTTACAGTCTTCATTTGCTATGGGCCAACTATAATCATGTCACCCTAGTACAGGTTGCTTGCTAATCACTGCAATAAAACTTGGTGTAGCATTAAAGTGGACAGGAATGTTGTAATTTGCTGTGTTGTTTATTATGATAGTTTGTACTGGTTTTCGATAAATTCTAATATTAATTGTATTACAGGAGAGACCACTTGGTGTTGACATTGTTGTAGAGCCAACATTTGTTGGTCTTGGTCCATATCATTTGGCTGTTGGGATGAATAACAGAGCATGGTTTTATGCACTTAGTGATAAAGGTAAATTTGAAGCAATTACACTTTGGATGAGTACTAAATTAATCAGTACCAACAGCGAGATTATTTGAAAATGTTGATTGAAAACAGTCTGTTGCAAATTTTCATGTCAAGGATGTTGTCTGGGTGACAATGTATGTTATGTAGTTGCATAGCAGTGCAAACTTCATTAGGCGAACTTCTTCATCAGAGTCTATAGCTTGCTGAGTGATTTTCATTTGTCTTAAAAATTAATGAATTCCTGTCCCACACTCTTACTTATTATTATATATAATGATGCATTAAACTTAAGGTCRTAATGATGCATTAAACTTAAGGTCGTACTTTGAATTTTGATTAATTACAAGCTCTTTTTTCCATATCCATAATTGGATTTTTAAGAGAGTTTGTTCCATTCATATGGGTAACTTGAATTTTTGATAATAATTAAGATATGTCAAATGATATACCACAAATTATTGTTGTTTCTTAAGATAAAAACTATTGGTCTGATTACAAAATACATCAGTTCTTCTTTTTCACACTCAATCTTTTATTCTCTTTCTTCAGCAAGTGAACAATTAAAAGACAGAGAATATCTTGGGACAGTCAACAGTATTTATCTTAACAGTGACTATGCCGCAGTGCTCTTTGAAAATAAAGTCCAGTTGCATTTGGTAAGGCATTCAGTGATCAATCATTTATTAATAAATAAATTTTAATCTTTCTTTTAAAGCCTGTGTTACATCCGGAATTTCTATCTAATCAGAAATTAGATAGAAATTCTAGATGTAACACAGGCTATCATAGTATAGGCAGCCATGAATATTGTGTATTGAACACATGTCGTTTCTAACATTTCACATTTGGAATTGAATGGTCTTCATAGGTATTACTTCTATCACTTTAATTTCTTCTGATTTCTATTTTCTAGATTGAAGGGGAGAATATGGATACTGCAGATGAGAGAGAAACCCGCCTGTTTCCAGACAAAGACAGCCAAGGCAAAGCCACTTGTTGTGCGTTAACTGCAGAGTTCTTAGTTTTTGGCACTGATGTATGTGCTAATGTAAATTATAAATTGCCCCCCATGTCCTACTCACAGGGTTCGTACAGTCTTGAAAAGTCCTAGATTTTTGAGCTAGGTCCTTGAAAAGTCCTTGATAGCAAATTTTCCTTAAAAAGTCCTTGAATTTTGTATAAAAAAACTCTGTACGAACCCTGTACTCAGACATTGAACTAATAGACCAACAATATTAGAATCAATCCTGGAATAATATACACACTTAAAAAAAATCAAATGCATTATAATTTTTTGAATAGAATGGTGGGCTCCATTATTTCTTCATTGAAGATTGGCAGTATGTGAATGAGTTTAGGCATGTTGTTGGTAAGTTCATCTTTATGTCATTATTCTTTAGTTATTCTTCAATCTTTCATATAACAAAATGTTTCTTATAATTTCCTCATTATGTTTAGGTATCCGTAAAATCTTCCCTAATCCTCGTGGTACAAGATTGATATTTATTGATGATAAAAGTGATGGTTTTGTCTACAATCCTGTGAGTGTTGTTAAAATTAGTTTGTAATTACGTACAATGAATTAGAACATACCGCTAAAAAAGGGTGGAAAAACATCAATGTTGTGATATACCTTATTCGTACTACTTTTAGCGAGTACGAATTTGAAACACAAATATTTCGCGAGCATAAATTTTCACGATTTTGAAAAAAGGATAAATTTTTTGCTTTTCTAAGGTTAATGATGCTACTTTTGAAATCCCAAATTTCTCTCCAACCATCAAAGGCATTGTATGGGAAAACTGGAATCTTGACAAGGTATATATCTTAATATATAAAAATAATATATATAACTTAAAAGTGTTATATTCATAGTGTATATATGCTAAAAAAGATGGAACTAACAAATGCTGGATCATTGTGCATCATCGCTTGAGCAATAATTTGCCATGTTAACTGATTTAAATGTCTTCCCAATTACTACAATTTATATATATATTTTTTTTTTGCTTTAAAAGGATATTTTCTGTGGTTATGATGATGACAAGATCTTCACATATGTATTCTATAGAGATACTGTCACAGGTAAGCCTCATATTAATTACCGAGTGTCTAAAAGTCAGGCAGCCTGACGTTTAGTCCCAGAACTAAACACCAGGCAATCGATTTTTTTTTTTTTTTTTTGAAAAATCGTCGGAACAACTGTAGTTTTAATTGATACAACAAGAGAAACGCAATAAAGACCGAAATAATACTGTACGATAAGTAATCCATGTTAAAACCAGCACAGCCGACATTTGCCTCCTCAATCGAGTATCTATAGGTTGGTGGCTTTCCTGGCTAACGGTTTAAAAACGAAAAGAAGAGCAAAATATATAGAAAAAAGATTCCTAGCAAGTTGATCTTGGTGCTTGAAACTATCTCATAATCACAGAATAACAAACTATATTTTGTGTGTTTGAATTTTATTATGCATAAGATTCAATTTTCAGTAAGTATTCATTATCATCATTATCATAAGCATCCATAATTATCACGATTGCTATCCATCAGTAGTGTTTGGAAGATATGTCATTCATCGTGCCTAAAAATATGAGGAAAAAACAGAGATTCAGTATATTAAATAAATAGCTACAGAAAATGTTGAAAATATTGTATTCCAACCAAATTGCATTGTTGGTGGTTGTGGTGTCGCTTTTAAAGTGAGGTTCACCGCTTCATATGACAATGCAAGCCCCTGTCTTCGATGAAAAACAATTAGAATTTGACTTTTTTGTGATTCCACTTCTTGAAATACTCCCTGCAATATTTAATACTCATTCCTAACCAGAATACTTTACGACAATCAAAAATGGCGAACGTTTTGCTGGGAAAGGAAATGTTTCTCTCTTGTTTTTTGAATGAATATATGTTCATGATGATATCAAACCACTGTACATATAACATTAATCTCTCTCGTAAAGATCTAGGGATCAAATAATTCGATTAACAAAAGAGTTACAGCGTTGTTCTTAGGATGTTATTCGCACTCGCCCCGGGATCCCCTCGTGATCTCGATTGGAATTGGAAAATATCGCAGCACTAGATACAAAACGCGAGTAAGACGCCTTGGTATGGATAAAAGAACTCAAAGCCACAAATAACATACTGTCGCTTGTGTTATGCATACTAAACAGGGTTGGAGATGGAATGCACCTTCTTCTCAACACAAGACGTGACAACACAGCACAACATTTTGATATATAAGATTCGTACCCTTCTAGTCTTCCAGTAGTATTTGCCATCTGAAGGAGTCAGCTGTCCAACTATTTTGCTAACTCTGTACGGAAATGAAAAGAGGCTACCAGGTTTAGTAACTGTTCTTCTTTTCATCCTTAGGTGGTAGTTGCACCATTTACTTTTCGCCTTGCCACAGCCCCATTTATTTCGAATGCTTTAAAATAGAAGAAAAAAAAGCATTAGGAAAAGTAATTGCTATTTTTACCACGACCCTCACAAACCTATTTTCTTATATATCCCCTTATCCCTTTAATCAAAAAAATACTTTAGCGCAGTGCAATAGCTATTTCAACTCAAACCTATCTGGAAGAGTGATTTTAATGTGTGTGATGAGACCCACAGCATGTAAGCAAAATACAATCACACAGTTCAGAGATACGAGGGACGTACTCTTGAAATACAACATTTACAGGCTTTTATCCCAGAACGCTCTAAATCGGAAATATTGGGGATGGTGATCTTCATACTTATGCATAGCCCTAAAGGTAAAGATATTGAAACTTGGYCATATGTCAGTACAGATTCCAGGCATGGTCTAAAGCTTGAGTTTGGGAGTCTGATCACGTGACTAGCCCTAACCCAAAACCCTTACTCCAAACCTAACCACTGGACTAGGTGAAACCCTAACCTTAGATCAGCATCTAAAACCCAAACCATATGCTACTCCTAGCCCAAAGCTTTGCTACTAGTAGTCGAAAACGTGGGTCACGTGACCAGCATTTTTTCACTTAAGGAAACCTGATGTAATATCATTTCAAGTTGCTCCCAAGGTTTATTTGCATTACAATTGGTGACGAAAACCATCTGGCTTATTGGATAGTCAAAAAAGTATTCATATTGCAAGCTCTCCGATTTTTTACTTCTCATCAATGCAAAGTCGAGTACTGCCTGTAAGAGAATATCATAACTTACTATTTCCAGTCATAGCCCCAAATTTCCCACAAGACGGGGTCATCTGAGGCGATGTCCACATAGGCCTTGCCACTAACTCTTGTCCATGATAGCAACGAGCCACAGTAGTCGTACTTTTCTTTGCATTTATACTTATTTATGATGCTGTACGTGTGACGTCCATGTGGCACAAGTTTCCAATAACAATTGTAATTGCTTGGCTTCACAATTGTAGTGTACGGATTACCACCAGTTTTGAAAGACGAATCGCGTCTTTGCCATTCCAGATCCTCTAGGCCACCTCTTCCTGGGGTCATAAGGCAATGTAGGCCAGCCATCGAACGATCGTATTTACCCAAATTCAGAACCTTCGTGGAGAAAGCGTCCGTTATGACGCTGACATCTGGATCAAAATAGGGAATGATAGCGCTTTCGTACTCTACTGTGTAGAGCTTGCCGATTAACGCTCCTGCCAATCTTCTAAACATCGCCCGATCGGATATTACTCCATTGAGGTGATTTTGCCAGGTTGCAGTGGTCGGTAACATGCCAAGGTACTGTGTAAAGATGATTTCACGGTATACCGCTAGCTGTGCGTACATCTCACAATATCTAATGGCTTTTCTTGCATCGGCAGCTTTGTTATTGCGGAACATCTTACGTACTTCGCTGGCAAGTTCTCCCATAAACGCCACACCTTGTGATCTTTCCATTTCTTTTGTTGCCACAGGCACTTCCTCTGTACTTAAGGGTTGACCCGACTTTGCAGCTCCGTCTAAGTACGCTTTAGTAAGTTGAAATGCTGATAGCAAACCATCTTTTTTACGAACTAGCTCCTCCTCGCGATATTGCGCCAGAGCCTCATCTATCTGCTCTCTGACAACTTGACCCAAAGGTTTCGGTTTCGGTCCTTTACCAAATAAGCCAAGTAGAGCAGAGACGAAGCCCAGAGCCGTACTTGCAAGCTGGCCTTTTGGTCCAAAGTTACTGGATATGGAGGCAACAATGTCAATCGCTCCTCTTATTGCACCTACAGGGTCTTCGCCAGCATTGCCAAACACCTCGATGTTTGAGGATATGACACCTAATGTGTCTAGGGCTCCTTGCTTGCTATCATCAGAGAGACTGTACCATTTTGTATCTAAACTTGATAATGAACTTTTAGCACGAGATGACAATGGTCCGCTAAACGCCGTAAGTTTGGTTCGGACTGCAGTAATGAGTTTGTCTTTAGGAGCTGCATATACGAAAAGTCAAAGATATGTAAATACAGTCAACTCTCTCGTAAGCGACCACCTCGGGATCAGGAAAAAGTGGTCGCTTACGAGAAAGAATTTTTTACAGAGTTTATATGGGAAACCGTTATAACGGGAAATTTAAAAGGCGGTCGCTTAAGGGAGATGGTCGCTTACTAGAGTTATCGTTGAAAGAGAGTTAAATGTAGTCCCATTAATTCTTTCATAGTTTGTCATTCTCTATTTTCTGTAACAAATTCTTAAAGACAATTGTACATTGAATGTAATTTTATATTTTTGAGATGCAAACATTACCTGAGTCCAGTTGTTCTCTTAATGACTGGTTGTTGTATTGTTCATCATTCTTGTCAGGGGTGTCCTGGTTTGCCGTCTTTTTAGCCAACTCCTTGGACTACAAAATTCCAAGATATATCATTGTCACTGAGAGATCAATGTGACGAATATCATGATTGCAATCCTGTGTCACGCAATACATCAGAAACTCTTACCATTTTTTTGAACTTTCTACGCCATTCTTCAGTATTTTCCTCTTGCGCTGCGAGTTCAAGTAGTCTTCGGTCCAAATCGCTTTCCGAATCACCTTTCAAGAGAGGATGAAATATCTCGTAAACTATAGTATATTTAGTAGCAGTCCTTGAAATTTTGCGAGACTGCGAGACGAGCATTTTTTCCTGCGAGACCAAGACTTGCTGACTTTATAAATTGCGAAAATCATTGAGATTCTGAGACCGTTGATATTCGACAATCGCTGAATTTCTGTTGCTTTCTTTTTAACTTTCCTGCTAGAAATAATGCTCAAAGGTAAAATCAAATGACTTTTCTTCATTTATCCTGAAAGCCTTCCGTATGTTTGTATCAAGGAGTAGTATGTCAAGACGCAACTGAACAAATCAAACATCGAGACTCGGATCAAGAGAAAGACAGTCGTGTTTATTTTTGAATAATTAAAATTATTCAAGTACCTAACTGGTCATGTGCTTTGCCATTGGATTTCTTGAACTCCTAAAATATAAAAAAAAGATTAAATCAAACGTTAGACATAAGTAGGGAAGTGTAAATATGTTTGATTCAGGCCAGAAATATCATGGGACTCTCAGGTCGGAGCTTGACAAAAATGACCAATAGGAATACGGCAGTATACTTTTATTATGTAAAGTTTCAATCCGCGAAATTTTACAAAATCGAAAGAGCACAAAAGCGGAACATATATCTTTCACTATTGTTCCCAATCAATTTTTAATAAAAGTACAAGCAAATTTGATATGTTTATTGTGACTACTCTATAATAAAAATATGTCTATAAATTAATATAACTACTATGACTCAAATCTGATTTTTTCTAGTGTGTGTGCACATTTTCCTCACTTACCGGGAGTGTTTCATTGTTCGCCATTACGAGGCAAGCAAGTGCCAACAAGACCAACAATGGAAGAAGCCTAGCACCTTCCATCTCTGTATTATTAAAAATATATGCTTTAAAGACATTTAGAAAATATGGGAGTCTCCAAGAGAGTGAATGACTTATTTCTTTATATCATGCAAAAGAGAAAAACAACATATTGCATAAATTGCATAAATTTGAACTTAACTCCGCAACATCTTTTGACGCCCAAAAAGAACTAACCAGGCGGTGCAAAAGTTCGAAATACAGTGTATATTAGACATTGCGAAACAAATGAATTGCCATAATTCAAGACGATGTAATACTATTGAAAAACTAAAGGTTTTCAGGGTATTAGTGTTTACATTTTACCTTGAATCCTTTGAAACTTGTAGTAGATGCAGTGCAATGTCGATCTCTGAATGGCACTGATCTAAATGTACTAGTTGTTGGTCTTTTGATACTACGAAAAATTCTATAGACCATGTCATCATACCTGTGAAACTCTGCGGCTTTGGTCATTTGGCACAAATACCTTGGCATTTGTGTGGTGGCAGCATTCATGTCAACGGTGAAAAAATGTATCGATTTTTTTTTTCATACCACACACCGTTAACCAGTCGTTAGGAAAAAATTTCCATGATTTCTTGACTGTCGTTGACAATAATTTTTTTGTTTTTAGAGTGTAAGCAATAAAACCATCAAAAATTGAGTATAAAAATAGACACAATTAAATCGAAACAATCACCCTATCGCATAATCACAACAAAACTTTCTACTGTTTTAACGCTAAGGATTATGGTCGCCAGAGGTGATCAGAGTGACTGCATATCAAATAAACTGTAGGTGAGCTATCATTGATAAATGATGTACACCAAAACTCGATACACTAAAGTTCTAATTTAGGAAAGAATGTTTTTAGGTCCAAATTTCGACTCTTTTCTGAGTGTCTATTCATTAAACATACTGTGACGTCATTATGCCATATTGAATTCGAGTGTTCTAAGATGTACTAGTGGAATATTTATTTCACGTGATTTTTTTTTATTCACGCTAGGACTTTTAGGATTAGCACCACGGGGAAGGATAAAGCCATTCACCGGGAAAAATTCAAGGTTTCGTAATGATTTAATCCGCGTGATAAGGATTTGCATAATATAAACTTCAATCTTTCACATGTGAAAATAACGCATTACTATGGATAATGGGTAGTGATTTCTTGTTTTGTAAGTATAAATTACAGCTTATAAAATGAACATTGGCAGGAAAAACAATGGAAAGTCCGACAAAAATAACCGTTATTAACCGTTATTTTTCTCTCCTAATTAAAAATTCATCCTTTGGGAGGAATGAGACCGGAAGTAATTGTGAGCCTTTTTGTCTCGTTTTCCAAGAAATAGAGAAGTCTAATTGTTTTAGTAGTCTATTAAGCAGCATATGGCATAACGTTTGTAGTATAGGAGGTTCGAGTTCATTCGAACTTCTATTTTAATAGGTCGCTTGACAGAAGGTGACCGTTTTAGAGAGTTCACCTTTGGATTAAGTATCGTGTGAAAAGCGACTTTTGGTGAATTCATAAGTGGCCGTATAACGGACGGTGCCGTTTATTAGAACTTTTCTTACAAATCGCTCAAGGTAAAAACCGTTCAACAACATTTAATAGATCTTCCTTACTAGAGAATGTATGTGATGGAAGGTTTCCTGGAAAACGGTTTTTAAAAATATTGAAATTGGTGTTTTCACTGTGTTTATGGTTAATTTTATGTTAAGAAAGGATTTATATTCTTTCAAATTAAATAAATAGATATCGGAGTGGCCTGACGTAAAGTCCCAGAACAAAACGTCAGATAGTCAATTTTGTGTTTGAAACATCGTCGGAGCGACCGTAAATTAGATTAATACAACAGGGAAATGCAATAAAGACCGAGAAATGATACTATTCGACAAGTTTGTATACTCAAGCACGGCACTTTGAGATTTTTCGATTGCCTGACGTTTTTTTTTTTTTGTTTTTTTGTTTTTTTGTTTTGTTTTTTTTTTTTTTCAAAACAAATCGACTGCCTGACGTTTAGACACTCCCTATTATTTAATTCAAAGATTGCAGACATTTTAAAGACGTCAAATATTATTTTTCCCGTTTTGGCCTCCAAGAACTCGGTCAATAAGCTCAATATAGGAAACTGTTTTGTTTCGGATTAGAAGCCTCTATATTTGGGAGGGACAGAAAGAGCAAGAAAAATTAAGAGAGGCATTATTATTATTATAAAATTCAAAACAAAAGCATCGTTCTCTCTTTAACTAAAGATATTATTGTTGCAGGTGCTCAGTGCATCATGGCTGGAACTACAAAACTTCCTTATGGACAAAAACCTTTGATGCTGTATGGCGGTGAGATGGTTTGTCAGACTCTTAGTGGAAAGGTATCTCTTCATTAAAAAAACGATCATTTGAGTGAAATCATTATTTTTAATTTTTATTGTGAAATGACTGAGTTCCCAAGTGACCTTTTCCTTTTTGAAGTTTTGACGTTATTTTGAACATTTGTTATGTTATAATTCCGTTAAGGAATCCCATGAAATAGCACTGGACATACCCATGATTCAATGTGCGCCTTACTCTAGTCAATGGAAGACGTGAATTTGGGCMCTGCTCAAAAGTTTTGAATCCTTTTCCATCCCTCATTTCAAATCAAAGTGTCTTATAAGAAGATGACAGAACAGTCAAGAAGCTAAAACTGTCGACCATTTGGCACATCTGAGGTTATGAATATTAATGAAGAGTTATAAAAGTCTCTCTTGCTCAAATGGAATTTCTTCCATGCTTAAGGATTAAACAGAGAGAACTCCATAGAGGCCAGCACTGCAGATGCAAATCGTTTTTGAGACTGCTTGATTGATTTTACAATCTCTTACCGGTATTCTTTTCGTTTATATATCAACAGACATCTAAGCTTACGTTATCAACACACTTTTATCATGAGAAACTACAGGACTTGCCTCAGGATGATGTAAGAGTCATGATGATAATTTTATTTTTCAATTTTTTACAATGAAACAATATTTTATAATTGCATGTATTATTGGTGTTGGGGTTGAGTATGATCTCAATGAACTATCAATTTATGAATCTTAATCTATATGGCGCTTTACTATTTCTATTTTTATCAGATAAAAACGTCCTTCAATCAAAGTGTCTTGTTGAAGAGGTAAGCATAGAACTTGCTATACAGAATTTCAATTTTTCAAAAATAACATGAGCAAGATGCAATAACATCTTGAAAAGGAAAATTTGTTTTTAACTTTGCACTTGTTGGCATTAACACACCAAACGCTATTGACTTCTAAGCTTGAAAAATGGAAGCATGTCTCTAAAAATATTGTCTTCCCAGCATATTGATGGTTCTCTTCTGATAACAGGTTCAAAGAAGCATGGAATGCAGCCAAGGCACTTGATTCTAAAGAACATTGGATAGAACTAGGAAAGACAGCCATTAAACACCTGGAACTTGATCTTGGTAAGTTATCACAGATTATCTAAAACGCTTGTTTTGTTTATTGATTTTTTCAAGGTATAATTTTGATAATACTGTCTACAAAAGAATTTAATATACGTAGCAAACAGCAAACATTTATCGAAAATGAAACGTACAGTAGCTGTTTTTGGCTTGAGAAAATTACAATATTGAAAGGTATATATATTAAGTGGTTGCCAAGATGTCGTTAACAAGCATACACAAACGGTAAATTTTGACAAATTTTCAGACGGTAAAAACTGTTCCTATCATTAGCCTTGTTAGATCAAATCTTATGTTGATTATGATTTATTGCTTATTGCATGTGTCTTTCAGCCATTAAGGTGTATCGTAAGATTGGAGATGTTGCAATGGTCCTCTCATTGGAGAAGATTAAGGTAAAATGTAGATGTTATTGCTGCCTAGCCCCACTCATCAGCCAATTGAAACACATGCCCTGACCCTTAGGGAGAACCAGGGATTGACCATATCGGAGCAAGAATGGAAAGGCTGCACCTTGTCGAAGTTCTTTGCAACCTCACAATTCTGTAATGTTTCATCTTGATGTCTTTGTTGATGTAGGATGTAGAAGACAGAAACCTGTTGTCAGGCTATGTTGCTATGTTTCTTGAAGATTACAACACTGCACAGGACCTGTTTCTTTCTTCCGCTCAGCCATCGGCAGCTCTGGAGGTAATCTGAAAAAATTAAATTGGTTAACACAATCACATGAAGACCAGTAACTCGCAGATATTGAAACTTAGCAGTATTACGATAAATAGATTGTCCCATCAGAAAATAACTTAAACTAATAAAAAAGTCATCAGGACTGATGTTCAAAAGTAAAAAAAAATGGCGAGATTCCGTGACTGGATCAAAATTTGCTGAGAGTGTTTCATTTTTCACTTTTTTCGTACATGCATTTTTATAGATGAGAAGAGATCTTCTTCACTGGGATCAAGCACTGGAACTGGCCAAGTCGTTGTCACCTGAACAAATCCCATACATTTCTAAAGAATATGCACAACAGCTTGAGTTTACGTAAGTGTTTGATACATGTAGTAGCCCAAGGAGATTGGGGAGATCTGCTGGGATGGAATGGGGAGGAGAAAGGGGAATGGTGTGCTATTAGCCTCTCCTACAGTCTTTTCTAAATTTTTAATTCCGTATGGACAAAACATTCCCATAGAAGAGTTTGTACGCTCCCGCACGGGCACTAGCTATGAGAATAATGCTAATATAACCCGTCCAGACTCTTGAAGAGATCAAAAAAATGGTGCATACACAGTCACACTCAAAACAGAATCATACCACGTAAATGGCTTTACGACTAGATGCGTGAAGAAAACGACGGGTTTTAAACATTTGAACCAAAGCTCATATTATAGCTTTGATGCATTCAAGTTGAGAAACGACATTTTACATTGTATAAATCAGCCTTAATGGAATGCCTATAATGTTACTGCAGCTAGAAGATGAGCAAGGCTGAAAATGATCGTTTTTCTAACTCTAACTTTTTCTTTACAGGGGAGACTATGCTAATTCTCTGTTTCATTATGAAAAAGGCATCACTAACCTTCCCCATGTATGTATCCATCAATTATTACAGAACAAAGCGTAAAAATATAACCACAAAAGAAAATATCTTATTTATGACATCAGTGCTTTGGTATCAAGGCCCTGGTGCATCCATGAACCTTTGCGCGATTGTTTTCAAATACGAAAATCTCCATCTTTGAGTTTGAACCAATTAGAAAACACTTTTCACCAAAAAATCTTCATTGAAAACAAACAAACAACTGCAAAGGTTCTAAGATGAAAGTGGGCAGTTTGCACTGGCGATTTTTGCAGCGCGATTGTCGCGCGACATCGCCTGAGTTTCGAACTTGCTTGAGATATAGCTGCAACTTCGCTGCGATTTTCGATCGCCGCAACAATTGTACGTTTACGCGAACAATTTGAATCTTAACGATAACAACGCGGCACAACGTTTGCCTAGAACTATCGCATGCAACATGCATAAGTCATCCTTACAACATTGGTACAACTGTCGTGGGAATTTAAAACAATTGGTTAATATCCAGGTTGCATGTGATGCTTGAAGGAAAAAGTTGTGTCCTCTCAATAATTTGGCCTTAAGGATTCCTGATCCCAGAGACTCCCATTTGAATTGTCGACACTTTTTCTACAGCAACAAGAGCATGATGATGCTTGCCGAGGTGGAATGGCACGAATGGCTATCAGAGTCGGTGATATTAGAAGGTACATCATGATTTGCTAGCAAAAGTACATAACACATTTTAATTAAAACGCTCTACGCCTTAATTTTTTATTGCTTTTCTCCGCCTTGTTTTTTTATTGCTTTGTCCTACAAGCTGTTATGCATGTAAAACTCTTTTGCTTGTGGTCTGTGCGCAGACTCTGCAGACCGTTCTAACTCTGCGAGTGAAGATTTTTTGTTTTCTTGGTATCTGGAATCCATTGTTTTGTCCTCCAATTAGACTACAGTCTTTGCAAAATTGTGTGAAACACTAACCATAATTGTGTTACCACAACCTCTCCTCCCTTTTTGTAATGTTTGCCGATTAATTGCTACGAAATCACCAAGGATGAGAAAAGGAACGTGTGTACAACCTTGCAGTGGGGAGAGGGGGTAGGGTGTTTGTAGACTCCCATAAACTGCAATGAGACGATACTCTTAAACAAGTACTTACTAGTGATCAAAAAGGTCTGATTGTGGTGCTTGCTATGTTTATGCTAGGGGGGTTCAAATTGCATCTAAAAGTCCCAGCAGACAACTCAAGAAGGAATGTGCATCGATCCTGGAAGGAATGAAGGTATTTCAATAGAATATCTTTGATTGTTGAATTCATTGTGATTTCTACTGAATTCAAGAAGTCGATAAGGTCCCTTAATATTCCTCTCTGGAGCCTTCAGTTTCTCAGTAGTTTGATTCATATGTTTCAGCAATACACAGAGTCAGCGGTTCTCTATGAGAAAGGTCAGTATTGGGATAAAGCGGCTGGTGTTTACATGAAGACTAAAAACTGGTAAGTAAAACAACTATGATATTGATAGATTGAATTCATAGCGGAACCCCTCTTTACGGGCACCCGCTTAATACGGTCACTCGTTTTAACGGCTTGATTTTTGTGCCACGTCGAATTAACTTATTTTTCTTCTCGGTGAGCGGGCACTCCGTTAATCTGGCCACCTTTTTATGCCCCATTAGTGGCCGGTTTAGCGAGGTTCCATCACAAGCATTTATCAAAATATTATTTCATCATCGTTGACCATATTTTGAATAATGTCAGGGCCAAAGTTGGTGAACTACTGAACCAAGTGACATCCCCTAAGCTACATGCACAGTATGCCAAGGCTAAAGAAGCTGATGGGAAGTACAAAGAGGCTGCACGGGCTTATGAAGCGGCAAAAGACTACGATAATGTCATAAGGTAATAGTTTTTGTCTTCTGATTTGGTAATAAAAGAAGTGCAGTAACTATTCAGTACCATATGGTGGCGTTTAGCGATCGCAAAATAAGTCAGTTTTTGCGTTTGCTCTATTGAAACGGCAAAACTACTTGCGAATTTGCAAAGAAAGAAAGCCGATTTTGGGGATGATTTACCTGATACCAAAAAGAACAATTTTTTTATATGACTAGTGTTTCCCTTAGTTGTTTTTTTCTTGTGCGTCCATACCTCTTGTAGCTATCTCTATTATTGCTATTATTTTTATCGTACTTTTTATTTATCTTGGGGGAAGCTCTAAATGAATTAATTAATTAACCATCGTGCTTTGCTCTAGAAAATGGTGTCATTGCACATCGTCGGTTGTTTTGTCACAGTAATCATTATTATTTGAAAACAGTAATGTAATGCGCGAATATTAGGCCCCGTCCACACTAGAGCGTTTTCGTTTGAAAACGAATCGAAAAGTATGCGTTTTGCCCTTCTGTCCACACTAATACGCTCGAAAACGGAGCCTTTTGAAAACGCTGTTGAAAGTGAAGCGTTTTGAAAACGCTACGGCATCCCGGTCAGTGTGGACAGCGAAACTATATGTTTTCTATTTGTTTAGGATCAATCTGGATTACCTGCAAAATCCTGAAGAAGCTGTTCGCGTCGTCAAGGAAGCACAGTCTGTGGAAGGCGCCAAGATGGTTGCAAAGTATGCCTAATTCTTTCTTTGTAGTTAGTGTGGTACATACATCTATTGAAAGGTCGTAAATTTAAAGATGGCGACACCATCGAATCAAAGACCGAAGGGCATTCTGGATATTCGAAAATTTTTATATATATTTATTAGCATTTCTGATTGAAGACGCCATGGTTATTGAGTGTGTGGGACCTCATCATTTGCCTTCCCATATCCCCTTTCGGGTTTAGCTTCGATGATTTATCTTTTTATGTCCAACAACGTTTTTCAATAAGGTGTATACTCCATATTTGGTTGTTGTTGGCTATTTATCGTTATGTTGATTATGTTGTCATTGATTTATCGGTTATACGTCGTGTTTTGCTGGTTGGTTGTCGTTCACAGTACTTGTATAGGTGTTTTGTCGTTGTTTTGTTGTCGTTTAGTTCACAGTACTTGTATAGGTGTTTTGTCGTTGTT